CGGGATGCCAGCAACTCGCAGCGGCGAGTGCGGGGCGTTCGGCGTTAGTTTTTTATGAAGGAAGTTGATATACAGTGACACAACAGTGGAACGTAATTGCAGGTAAGGTAGTATTTGTGAATGTGCGTTCATATTATTTCAGTTTTTTACTGACTCTGCCCCAAGTGCCTGTGGTGTCACTGAATGCACGTGCGACAGCACTTTCTTACTTCACTCAGTGCTCCAATGCATGACATGCTCTCGAGACACTAACCATGTGTCAACAATACATTACGTGTAAGTTGTGACAGATTACCACCCGTACCATCTCTGTCTATAACAATCGCTGGAAATGTATAAAACAAACAATTATGAGTGTTTGTGTCATTCATAGTAAAAAGAAAAGAAGATTGTTAATACCCGGTCGCAGTCGCTGTGTTGTTGAGTGTTGGCCAATGTTGTTAAAGTGATTACGTCACCGTAAATTTAAAAATATATATATATTTCCACTTCTTCACAAATATAAGTAATTCTGTTCACTTTTGTGGTTAAATTGCTGCATTATACTTCCTATTTACTGTACTTGTTCGATGTGAACATACACTCGTGACTCATACATAGCACCATAGCAAGCATATTATGTCAGGAACATAATATCAAATCGTCCAGGTTTTTAAATTTTTAATTAGTTGAGAAACAATCTTATCAGGTAAGAATTTGACGATACGTTTAGTCCGTTTAGTTCTTACTTTAATGTAAAAAATGCAACAAAAATTTTACAAATTTTACCATAGAAAATTCGTCACGTACGTAGTCAATTTATTCTTGCAATATAAATTCCGATTGGCTAGTCTAGTACAAGTAGTTCAAGGTTGTAGCTGCTAGTCTATGGTACTACCATGATACACGTGCCATTAATGTCATTTATAGATCCTGTATATAGGATCATTTAAATACACTCCAGTCGCACACCGCGTACTTGCACTTTTTAGTAGGGCAGTGTGCGACTGAAAATGCTGTATCGACATTTCAGGACATTTTTGTATTTTCATGGTTCTAAATCTGTTTCGACAAAGCGGGGACCATTGTATGTATATCACAGGGGGTAGAAATAAGGGAAAAAGAAGGATGTAATACAGTTAACATCCTTCAGTCAAGCAGTTAATTCAAGCCAATTTATTGTAAGCCTTCTTGGCACACTCCATCATCTCCATCTTATCTAATATTTGTTCATTTCCTCTTCAACATAATCCTCACTATCCTTGGAATATTGCACGTGGAAAGTGGAAACTTCAAGAAAATTACCGTAAAATGGGACCAAAATATTCATGGTTTCGTCGGACCATTGACTTTGAAAATTCTGATAGTCTCTTGGATTATTTGATGGCCCTGGACCATCGGACCATGCTTATTTCGACCCTGATATCATCCAGAGTAATAAATATCTATATAATTATTAAGGTTAAAATATTTATCACATTGCGGAAATGAAACTCGCTTACATATATCCCGTTTGTCTCGCAATGGGTGGGTCCAAAAGATAATAGAAGAACACGCCGTTTCGTGCGCTACTGCGACACTTCGTCAGGTGATGCGGCGACGCTTGCGCGCGTCGAGGTTATATAATCCCCCGTTGGATTGAGCGTACAACTGCTGGACAGGCGCTGCTGTGATTGGCGGTCCTGACGTCGAATGAATGTCTTCTAGCGCCGTGCCGCCGGCCTGGCCGGCGGATCACCTGACGAAGTGTCGCAGTAGCGAGCGAGAACGTCGGTGTTCTTCTATTATCTTTTGGACAGCACCCATTGCGAGACAAACGGGATATAGTAAGCGAGTATATAATTATTATTATATTGATTAGCTCTTGATATCATATACCCCAGTAACCCCACATCTAGGCACATATATACCCCAGTAACCCCACATCTAGGCCCATATACCCCACATCTAGGCACATTTTATTGCTATATGCTAATTCATTAGTAACACAATGTGTTTGTTTGTGAGAAGGAATAACATTTTCAAATGGTGGTTTTTGCAGGCTCATATTTGAAAGCGACCGTGGAAATGTTGAAGGAGAAACTTTACACCCTTGTATTCGTGCAGTCTGCTCAGCGGATTCTCCTCGGCATGAAGAAGAGAGGATTTGGTAAAGGAAGGTGGAATGGATTTGGTGTAAAGTAATGCAGATGAAAACATTGTGGATGCTGCTAAAAGGTAATGGTAGAGTGTCATGTTATCTATCATGAGTGTTATAATATAGATGACACTGCTGTCTATATATTATCTCACTCCTGATGTTATTAGATGTCAATTATGCATGTTTATGTGCATTGGAAGGTAGTAGTAGATCCAGTTTATTATTTTCCTTGCTCCGAATATTTCAAGTAATAGTAATAGTAATAGTAGATCTACTTACTATAGTCTACGTCCACACTGCAGACAATTCTACAATAGTACTCTGTAATCGTATTCAGATTGTTCATAGTGTCAATATGTTACTCAGTCTGCTGTCGTTAAATTTCCATAGAGTGTTTAATGGCATCTTGCTGTGTTTAATTTGTTTAGGGAGTTGCACGAGGAGTGCACTATTAACGTGGCTTCCAGTCTATGCAGCATGTGCTGGGAATGTCTCGAATTTGGACAATTTGCTTGACTGATTCGCCGGCGTCGCGGCGTGATGAATGTGCACGTTTTCCATACAAAACATTATGAAGGGGATCCGGAGGAGACAGAAGGTATATTATTAACCGAAAGCTTGTGATCATAATATCAAACGTGTTTTTCCTGTATATCACTTTCAATGCGGTGCGTAGCTAACTCATTTTACCTGTGGGGGGGGGGGGGGGGTAAAATCACGTGCAGTTTATGTCTTGGCAGTTGCTTGTGGGTAGTTTTCTATTGGCTATGCAGTAATATCTACATTGTTCTGGAGGGCCAACCCGCAATCTAGCTACATCCCGGCCAGTGGCGGATTCAGGGGGGCACGGGGGCGGGTCTGCCCCCCCTAGAATTTTCGGGAAAGGGTAATTTAGCCTAACACCCTCCCTCGCCTCGGTGCTTTGTGCCTTGCGAGGGGCTCGGGCATGATTCGGGCCGCGACCCGCCACGGGCCGCGGGCCTGGCCCGGGGCGAAGGCCGCGGCGACCCGTCCCCGCCAGCGACGAATGCGCCCCCCCCTAAAAATTCACTTAGACTGGATCGCGCCACGCGATGCCCTGGCTGCAGACTGTTGTGTCAGGTATACTGTTATCATCATAGTATAAAGATTCCTTTATATAAGTCATAGAATAATAATAAATTTAGTTAAATCTAGTTGTTTTCCAGAATGCGACGCAAGAAATGGTATGAATTGCAAACAGTAGGGCCGTTCGCGAACATGTGGCCAGATGATGCATCTATGGTCCCAGATGGGGAATGCTGAATGAGCAAGAGTTCGATAGCTATTGTTGAAATTCCAAGGGAATGGAGCAAATATTTTAGAACACACAAATTGAAGAAAGTGGATACATGTAAATCCAGGTATTGTAATTTATTATGTATCTGTATGTATTAATGTAAGCTAGGATTGAATAGCTGTTGAGTGAATAGATGATTTATTGTAATTACGTATGGGAGCCACCATACGCGATTTATTATTATTGACTATATTTGTGTGCAGAATCGGCGCCCGGTTACATTGGTAACAATACAAAAACACTTGGAAAAAGCAGATCTTAGTTAGTGCTGCAGCGCAATAGCGTACAGCTATGACTGGTATGCATTACTGATATTGATGATACTGCTAATTATATATCATATTTAAATACTTAATTTGTCAGCTAGTCTGTATCCACTACACTAGATATAGTGACAAGATAGTGCATGCCTCACAAGAGAGTACAGCCACCTCCACAACACCCACCAGTAAACTGTACTAGAATCGAGGGGTACTATATATGCGAGGGGTATATATACATATAATGCATTATTATGACAGTGCAGGTGTTGAAATTTGTTGGTATATATTTTTATTTGCGCTGAAACATGACAACTGGCCATGGCGCTATGACATACATATATGTGATATAATATATATTATATATATATATATATATATATAGTATATATAGTACCCATGATATAGGTGGCTAGTTCTGCTGACTTTAATTTCGACAGTGATACTTTTGTATTGGCATGGGATCATGTAATGCAAATATTACTATACAATATTTTCTAAAAGTGGCATAGGTGGCTACATGATGAAATTTTTTTAGTTGCTTTCACTTGCTTGTTCACTAGTACAGTATTGATGTTGTTTGTGCTGTTATTCTTGCAATATTTGCATACAAATTTCGGCATACTGTATGGCGAAGTGAAGGTTTTCGTCCTTAAAATGGTCCTTGAGCATTGTATGCGCTACTGGCGAGGTGCGGGGCGCGGGCCAGGGTAATTTGTCTTAGGGGGGGGGGGCGAAACCAAGGGCGCTGTACAGGGATTTGTTACGGTGGGTCTAACGCGTAGCCAAACTTCGAGCACGCCGAAGGGTGGTCTGGTAATGTTTTTTAATTAGACCCCTCAGATGCGTTTTCTGCGCGAGCAGGGGTGGATCGGACACCCTGGGATCCCCCCTGGTGACAGAGTCGCGCCTGGAAACTGTGAGGACTCTGATACCGGTGTACGGCGTTGCGACGGGACGGGTGGGTGCCAGGGGGTAGATTCATGATTCATCAAGCTGCGTACGCGAAAGCTATTTTGCGTAGATCTTTGTGTATGGCCTCCCGACGTTCTAAGTTCGATTGACATACGGCAATCGACGTTGCTTAGTTGCGATTTATCAACGCAGTTATTTAGTAAATTTGCGTACGATTTCGCGTACGCAAGCGAGGTCGTTTTAGGTGCGGTTCATAAAGCTAAAATTTACGTAAACCTATGCGTAACTCTACACGAGCTGACGAGGTGCCGTAAACCACTCGAAATTTCCGCAGGTGCTTCCATGCAGCATACCGCAGCATGCATTATTTTATTGAGAAAACATAAAATTACTACTCAACTAAAAATAAATAAATAATTACCATACTACACAGACAGGCGGCGCCTTTGACGCTTCTTTTGTCATAGCTTGGCATTGTTTTCGTTATAAGCGAGTTCGTAGTTAGCCGTGTACGTGCACACGCCGCACTGACCGCACTTGTACGTGCACACGCACGCACGTGCACACGCACACGCACTACTCAACTAAAAAAAACAGGGTGTGCTGCAGCACCCCCAGCACCCCGGCTAGTAAACGGCACTAATGCGTAACGCGTAACGCTATGGGTTAGGGTTAGGATTAGGATTAGTGTTAGGGTTAGGGCTAGGGTTAAGGGTTAGCGACGTGGATATTCGTCCGAGGATCGTTGCGCATCACTACGAAAGGTTATACACCATAGATTAATATGGGTACTATGACACGCGTATATAAGATAGCCGAGTCGGTGTAGAGTTAGTGTTACGGTTAGGGTTGGGTTAGGTTGACTGTTTGTACTTATGTGTATATTTTGCTCGGACGAATATCCACGTCCTTAGGTTTAGGGTCCCAAGGCACCATAAAACAGCGTTACGCATTAGTGGTACGGAAAAAATAGACGCGGCCGAGACCCGCAGTCTGAGCCCGCAGTGAAAGGGTTTTAATAATTCGAATTAGCAAGAGCTGGGATTCGGGCTGAATCCTCCCCCTCCCCCGCACAACAACAGCTTTCAGGCCCGTCGAACCAGTTTCCTTTTCTCTCTTTTTTCCCTTCTTTTTTTTAAAAATCATAGGGGGGCAACTGCCCCCCCCCCGTGACGCCGCGCCTGTGCCACTGGCCTGTGCCTACTCATGATTATCTGCCAGGGGTGAATATTATAATGACAGATATCTATTATGCTCTTATTATGTGCCTACAGACAGTACTGTGTCTGAATGTAAAATTTTTTAAACTACACGTTCGCAGGCATGTAATTTGCGACTTTTAGTAACATAGCAACTGTACAATATATTTACATTACACGATAGATATGTAAACATAAGACCTTGCGTTTATTTATTGATGAAGTGTGGCTATTTGCGAAAGGTAGAATAAGAGTCTTTGTCAGACTACGGGGTGGCGCCACTATCTCCATTAGAACAAACTCTGAACAAACAAGCGTCTGTAAAGTGCTAGGCATAACCGCAGTGTTACTGGGGCTCAAATTGAAACTATCGGATGTTTCAGGAATAAACGCATTCGGACAGATTAAACTATTGGTAAGAACTGAGTCATTTCGATATAATTGCTTATATTAGTTAATAAACCGATCGCAACGTCAACGAATAGAAACCACTAGAAACCTACTCGGGGGCCACCGCACCAGTTGAAGTTGAAGTGACAACTTGCCAATCGCCACGCAAGTAGCCTAAGAAAATAATTTGTGACAACGCCAAATCAATTTGCCGTAGCCCTATGTTGTTTCTGTATGTCTCTTGACTCACTCGGATTGCAAATCAACGATGATTATTATTGTCAAGTTAATTGTCTTGCGTGAGCAAGTGAAGTGGCAGTGCTGTCACCGGTATTCGTTACTGACTTACTGTGATCTGGGGGCCAACGCGATCGTGTGAACACATACCTAACTGTTATACTGTTAGCTCTTGCAATGCATGAACTCTAGCTGAACTCCACCCATGTATCCCGTTTTCCTGAAGCAAGGGTTATACTGCATTGTACTTGTAGGGTTGCAATAGGTCAGAACGCTGTGCTGCAACCCGTAGTGCGATAAAAAGGTCCATATCTTGCAAAATCACAATGCTGGTCATAGCCTGCCACTGTGATTAAAACAAAAAAATAATGTCCAAACCAAGTGCTTAGTTTCATAGTCAATGACGTACGAAATATTACCAATAAATATTATGGAAGATTTGTTTGCTACTAATATAAGAACTTACTGTCACCAAGCCTGTACGTGTACTTGTGTGTTGCAGATGAGCATTTGACCGGCATTTACAGGTGATTATAGGCGAAATAGAGTAGAGAAACATTAAGACTTTGGTAGTAAATACATTCCGTTTATTTACCTTTTTTTGAGACGTTCCAAGTGCCTGGGAACACACACGCATGCACACGCACAGTGACACATATACACAAATATTATGATCGCTCTAAAACAGCAAGTTATTGCAAAAAACTGCAAAAAAACCACAACCCGCACTGCATAAAACAACCACTGAACCAATGCTATTCCTGTCGCCCGCACTGCGGGTTGCAGGGAAAAATGCACCCTAAACATTTATTACACCTGCGTACCATTATCAATCACTATTCTGTCACTGGCAAATCAAGTGGCCTAACCGTGATCCTGTACTGTAGGCTGTATGGAGCGTAAGCCTGTAGTGTACTGTACTGACATTCAGCGAGTTCTTAATTACAAAAAAGATTCGCGGTGTACTTAAACAACTTAACAATCTCTGTCAATAAAAAAGAAATAATGAAATAACCATATTAACATTCAAACTAGGATTGTTTTGAATTTTTATATAGCAGACTTAGTAGTGAACATTTATAAAGGAAAGATATTCAATTTCCACATATCACAGCGCGTGCTACTATGTTTACGAATGCTCATATGTTAGAGTCACGTTTGTATGCTGCATTATGGGAAAATTGTTGAAGGTGAGGCGGGAGGACAGATTCATAGAAACATACTGAAAGTAGTAGGGAATAAGGTACTATCTGATAAGTTTACTAGTACTAGTCTACATACTATCTACTTCTATGTGTGGGTGATTAAACATATTTACAAACCCCTGGTACCGGTACCCTTTCTGTTTCAATCTCGATAACTTATCGCTTTTGTGCATACAATGATACATGATAGTTGATACATGATAGGCCTACAAGTACAGACTGTGTCACCAACACTAGCACAGGCACTTGGGACAGAGCACAGGCCCTTGGAGTTGGAGGCTCAAGTTTAAAGAAGAGTATAACTATAAGACTATTAAGAGCGAAGCCGTTACCTTCCGCTTCGCTCCTTATACTCTTCTTGAAACTTGAGCCTCCAAGGGCCTGTGGCTGTGGACAGAGTCAGTAAAAAACTGAAAATAATATGAACGCACATTCACAAATACTACCGTACCTCTCTTGTTCCACTGTTGTACCTCTCCGTTCCACTGTTGTGTCACTGTATATCAACTTTCCTTCATAAAAACTAACGCCGAACGCTCCCTCACTCGCCGCTGCGAGTGTGCTGTGTTGCCATTATTTATAATGATAATAATATATAACGGAGTTTCCTACCTTCTTTATATATTATTATCATTATATTTATAATACTAATAGCGACACAGCACACTCGCAGCGGCGAGTGCGGGAGCGTTCGGCGTTAGTTTTTATGAAGGAAAGTTGATATACAGTGACACAACAGTGGAACTGTAATTGAGAGGTAAGGTAGTATTTGTGAATGTGCGTTCATATTATTTTCAGTTTTTACTGACTCTGCCCCAAGTGCCTGTGGTGTCACTGATGCACGTGCGACAGCACTTTCTTACTTCACTTCAGTCTCCAATCATGACATGCTCTCAGACACAACATTGTCAACAATACATTACGTGTAAGTTGTGGACAGATTACCACCGTACCAGTCTCTGTCTATAACAATCGCTGGAAATTGTATAAACAAACAATTATGAGTGTTTGTGTCATTCATAGTAAAAGTAAAAAGAAGATTGTTAATACCTCGCAGTCGCTGTGTTGTTGAGTGTTGCCAATGTTGTTAAAGTGATTACGTCACCGTAAATTTAAAAAATATATATATATTTCCACTTCTTCACAAAATATAAGTAATTCTGTTCACTTTTTGTGGTTAAATTGCTGCATTATACTTCCTATTTTACTGTATTGTTCGATGTGAACATACACTCGTGACTCATACATAGCACATAGCAAGCAATTAATGTCAGGAACATAATATCAAATCGTCCAGGTTTTTTAAATTTTTAATTAGTTGAGAAACAATCTTATCAGGTAAGAATTTGACGATACGTTTAGTCCCGTTAGTTCTTACTTTTAATGTAAAAAAATGGCAACAAAAATTTTACAAATTTTACCATAGAAAATTCGTCACGTACGTAGTCAATTTAATTCTTGCAATATAAATTCTTGCATAGTCTAGTACAAGTAGTTCAAGTTGTAGCTGCTAGTCTATGGTACTACCATGAACACGTGACATTATGTCATTTATAGGATCCTGTATATAGGATCATTTAAATACACTTCCAGTCGCACACGCGTACTTGCACTTTTTAGGTATGCATGTGCGACTGAAAATCTGTTATCACATTTCAGGACATTTTGTAAATTTCATGGTTCTAAATCTGTTTCGACAAAGCGGGGACCATTGTATGTATATCACAGGGGTAGAAATAAGGAGAAAAAAAGAGATGTAATACAGTTAACATTCCTTCAGTCAAGCAGTTAATTCAAGCAATTTATTGTAAGCCTTCTTGGCACACTCCATCATCTCCATCTTATCTAATATTTGTTCATCTTCCTCTTCAACATAATCCTCACTATCCTTGGAATATTGCACGTGGAAAGTGGAAACTTCAAAGAAAATTACCGTAAAATGGGACCAAAATATTCAATGGTTCGTCGGACCATTGACTTTGAAAATCTGATAGTCCTCTTGATTATTTGATGGCCCGAGTGTTAGTCAGCATTATGATTAAATTACAATTGTAATTATATACAATTATAGGAGTGGTAAGCATATTGCAAATTATTGTGTCCAGTATATAGCGCCTTTATGTTGGATTTAGTCAGCTGTTTTAGTCGGCTTGAATCAGCAAATACAACAAGCAAACACGAATGTGTGTAGTGTTGTCTATTCATGGTATGGCAAGGCAACCAGTGCACAGCACCACTGACCTTTACCTTACACCAGCGATCTTATTAAACCAACCAACTATCGAGGTCCTAAATCTGCAGAGAGTAAGGCTGTATAGTGTAATCTGTCGGTTGGTCACTAACCCATACCTGCGCTTACAGGATGCCTGGGGGCTAATAACAAGTGGGTTACTGAACTGTGCACGAGCGTGAGCTCTACCACCGCACGTACGTTCACAGCGGCCTGTCGGGTCCTGATCCGAAAAACTCGCGTTGTTCTGAATTAAAAAATATAAAGCAAAATATGCAAATTGAAGTTTGGATTTTAGACCGGTGAGGTCTGCTAACGCTGAGAGGGGTCTATGTCCCCCAGGGTACTGCCGGAACGTACCCTGGTACTATCTAATATGCCGGACCGTACCTCGCCTACTTACTAACGAGTCTAGGGAGTCGCCTACGCCTACTCCTAACCCTAACCCTAACCTAACCATATCAGATAGTTACCA